ATGAAGCAGAATTACCGAGGAAAAAGGAAAAAAGGGTTACAGTAAAATTACACCCACAAATTACCAGTAATATGTGTGTTTAATGAGATGGTATAGGGCGAGGAGTAACAAATCTCACGTAAGGGTTTCTTAACTGGGAGAATGATACCCATTTGGTGCAGCCACCTTTACACCTTAAAGATGCCTCATGTACATAGATAGAACTGAAAAAAAAGGAAACGAAGTGCACTCATTATATAATCGGTATTTTGTTGCCTACATATAATTTACCCGTCGTTTTATGAAATATGACTTGAGAAGTTCATTGTTTAGGAGGGTAGTGGTGACATCAACTACACAAAATTGTTTTTGGACATTTTGAGCTAATGAGTGATTGTTGAATGTCAGGTCACATGTATTGTAGGTGCCAGTATTAGGGAATGCATTTTTACTGATCTCAAAAAGGGGAGAAATACAAAGAGCCAAGTTTTATCATGGACACAAAAATAAATTAAAATTTTACTTCAGAGCTGCAGTGCAGACTAATAAAACCACTTCAAATGAAAAGAAATATGTCACTTAACTATTTTATCATGAACCAAACTGATTTCCTTTCAGATTACATGGGGCCAGATCCCTACCATCCCCCCCCCTACCACAGCATATTGTTGAAAGTCAGGGGATGCCAGAACTTACATAAAACTCAAAATGTCCAAAAAAAAAAAAAAAAGTGACTGGCAGTTCATAGGGAAGACATTTCTCATTACATGAGAAGAAATTTTATGCTTGTGTCTGTTGCCCATACCCAGCTGCCCAGAGGCAAACTTACCTAGATATTAAGCCACAAAAGTGGATCTGCAGTAGTAGCTTAGTGTGTACTTGGTGATTGTTCATGGTAGTAATCTCTCTCGTACTCACACACATACACATAAAACAGCATACCCATGCTTACTCTCACATGCCCAAGCTTGCACCCATGCCCACACACCCATCCACACCCACACACCCATCCACACCCACACACTCACACATTCACACTCACACTCACACTCACACTCACACTGACTTATTACAAACATTACACATCACTGACATATACACATGCACATGTACTCACACTCATTATCATTCTTATTCTCATACACACACACACACACTCACACTC